TTTAATTACTAACCTGACAAAATTAAGTCACTGATAAGAAAATGTAGACTGCAAACGTACATGTGTTACTTTTTTTGAATCTTTAAAGCATCAGACCATTTTTTCTTCAAGTTTAGGAAAGAGAAATAGGGACATATCTTTTGTCGATCTTGAATTGCATTGAGGACCAAAACAATATCAATTTGATTTAAAATACTTTAATGTAGTCATAATGCTGAAATTTACCAAACAAATTTAATAATTATATTCAAATCAACAGCTGTCTGGTTTGTTTATACCATTTATAGTAGTTTAAATTTATCCCGCCAGAGGTCAGATACTTTGTTTTTAATCGCGAATTGTTTGGAAATAATTCAGGTCGCAGTAAAGAATTCTGTTTAACTAGCTACGAATAACGCTTTACTGTGAAGATTTATAACAGATGGCAGTCTAGAAACATCAAATACCTATTTAGTGTTTATTTAATATCCACTTAATAAATATTTTAAAACTAACTCTTTTAAAAATATAATTTGTAAATAATTGATCTATAAATAAACACGTATGTAAAAAGCCACAAAGTGTTAGAGGTAACCACAACACAGTTTTAAAAAATAATTATAATATTAGAAGGCTTAATATCAACCATTGTTGTTAATAGAAATATTGTATTTAAATAATTATAGAATAATAATTGAGAATAAACATTTAATAAATTTTCCATTAGAACCAAAATATTTTTTTTGCAATAAAAGGACCAATCTATTACGGTAATCGCTTATTTTACGACGGTCATAAATATTTCCATCTGTTAACATGTTGCCAATTCGTTTGGTATTAAAATAGATTTAAGGTAAAAGCGTTTATCATTTTACAGAATCAAAACGACACTTTTCGTTTTTTTTTTCCTATTCATTTATTTATTGCAGTTTACAATCTTCTCGTTTGAACGTTTGAAGCATCTTTGGATGGTTTACTGTACCCCTATAATTCTATCTCATTTATTCAGATTCGTTTTAGTATCATCTGGTATAATATGGTTATTTTATTTTCCATGGATAGCTAGGATTTTTTATTTATTAGCGAGCTCATACTTTTATTGTTTAGCTTAAGTTGATGTCTGTTATCTTTTATATGACTTATTTAAAAATGGCTAAAGATCCTTGACTCAAAAACAAACATATAATTTAGTATTAGCTTGACAGCTAATACTTAGCTAACAATATATAGAAGAAAAAACAGAAACAGATTTAGGAAAACAACAAACTTTAATTGAGTAAATACAAATTCAAAAACTGATTTTTATAAAAATATCAATTATTAACTAAAAAGTAAAACAGATCACAAGTTACCATTTAGCAAAATCGGAATAAAGACAATAACAATAAAATATTAAAAATTAATTCACACACACGATGAATATAAGCTAAAATATTAGTGAAATGAGTACAAAAACGTTGTACCATAATATATTAAAATAAGAAATAAGAAAATATTTCGATACATCAAATATGGACACTGTAGATGAATATTAGTCCAATTTAGAAATTGCTACTGAATATCAGCAGCTAAGGAGGTACTAGGAAAACTAGGAAACCAACATGGCAGAGATAAATCTGACAAAACCCAGAGTTGAGACAAGAAATGTAACAATCAAAGAAAAACGAGAAGCATGTTTAAGATTTATATTATTGGGAAAAGAGGAAACATGTGACAACTACAAAAGAATAAGGAATGAAACAAATATATTTATATAAGATATATATTTATTATAAGATGTTTTTTATTTTTTTATTAATTTAACAATGCACCTAATCATATGATTAAACAGCATTTTATGTTTAACCTAATCTGTTACCACTGTCCTAGGTATTCCTAAAGGTTAACCTTAGAATATAATAATAATTATTATTGCATACTTCACTGTTGTAACTCCTCCTCTTCAGTCCTAATCCCTTTTGGGATGTGGTGACACCATCAAGCCTTCACAGTTTTTTTAGGATTTCCCTCCATCCTTCTCTGTCCTGGGCTAGTTGTTCGTCTTCATGTAACCCTTGGTTAATCAATGTTTAAATCCTGTTGTAACTGCTCGAATTTAAAAAAACTGACAGTTACACATACGTTTGTATATATATATATATATATATATATATATATATATATATATATATATATATATATAGGAAGGTCCATATATAGGAAGGTTACTAAATTAGCCAAATGTATATCTTTTAAATCTAGAATGGAAAATGCCTATAATAAACAAAAGGAATCTTGGCGTATAATTAATATTCTTACAGCTAAAGTTCCCCAAACTACTGATATAGTCTTAGACCCTAGTGAGCTTAATGAATATTACTGCTCGGTAGGCTAGAACTCGCTGAAAAAATTAATTCTTCTTTTGATCCAATGCAATTTTTAAATGAAGTAAACATTACAAATTCCTATTATTTTCTACCCACTAACTCGGCTGAAATAAAAAATATACAAGGCTTTAAAAATCCTATGGCTGCAGGCTGGGATGATATCTCATCTAAAATTTTATCCCTTTGGATAAAATCGGAGAGAATTTTAGCGGAGACAATCAACACGTCTTTTTCAATGGGTCACTTTAGCGATTGTTTAAATTGTGCTAAGGTTATTCCTCTGTATAAAGGTGATGACCACGATTTACCTGCTAATTATCGGTAAAAATCCGAATAATGGCTTTCTTACAAAAACTCAATTCACTTTCTTCTTTCCAATTCGGTTTCCAGTCATTAAAAAGTACATATGATGTCATCTTTGAATTCATGGAAAAACTATACTTGGACTTTAATAACGATTATGATGCTGCCGCAGCTGTCTGTGATACATCTAAAGCCTTTGACTATGTCAATTACAAAATACTTCTTAATAACTGGAAAGATATGGTTTTAGAGGCACTGCTCTTCAGTGGTTCAGTTCATACTTGGAAGACAGATGCCAGTCTGTATCAATCAATGAGCGCTACTCTAGTAATATCTTTATTAATTGTGGAGTACCTCAAGGCTCTGTCTTGGGTCCTATCTTTGTCTTGATATACTTTAACGATATAACTACCTTCGGCATTAATGGCCGGTTTACTATATTTGCAGATGATACCACCAATTTTATGGTAAAACAAGGACTCTAAGGTACTGAACATGATTATTAGTAGTGATATGCCAAAAAAGTGGCGCAAAGCTAATAATTTGACATTTAATTTTTCAAAAACCAAATTAATTCATTTTAAGAATGATCTAAACAACATTACTCTGGACAATGAAAGCATTTGAATCGCTAACTGCAGAAAGGCACTATGTAATTTTGTGTATTTTATTTAGATTCTTTCCAGTAACAAAACGCAACGTTTACTACAAAAAGTAAATATATCCGCATATTAGTATTGGCATGGCAACGCTTTCAATATTCTATTTACTGCAGAAAGGAAACTAGTCCAGAAAAGTTCTCTTTCTGCGGTAAACAGATGCGACGCTAGAACTGGGTGGCAAATATTCGAACTAGCCTCACAGCTGAGCTTAGTTAGACACTACTGAGCTTTGTTTATTGATCATTGTTGTCGTCTTTATTGTGGTTAATAATTAGATTAGAATGAGTGGTTCAGATGAGAAATGGCGTGTAAATAAGAAAAGAAAAGGTTTTACGAATGATGACAAATATAAAAGGAACATAATAAAGAAGTCTAAAGTGGCTGGACAAGAACACGTAAACTAGGTTGGCAAAACTGTACCAGCTAAAAAACCAGGCTCAAATTTTTGCAGGTAAATATTCTTTTATTCATTGTTGTTAATTTGTACATTTTGCTTTAAATTCCATTTTACTGATAATTTAATCTTGTATGTATTTCGAAATAATATTAGTCTAATAAAACCTAACCGCAAAGTCGTTTATTTATCTCCAATATCTTTTTCATTGAATTACTGTTACAATAATTGATGTTTTAGTTGCAAATCCAATTGTCTTGGAGTTTTCACTGAAAAATATATAATTGAAATATCTGCCAAACTACATAACATGACAAACAAAACGGAACAGGACATTTACATCCAATCTGTTACGGAAATTAGTCAGATGGCAAGGGAAAGACCCAGGTCTAGTTCGTCAACCGCGAAACCCAAGGCTTTTAGTGTGATTAATTATGTAGTACAGAATGGAAAACGTACAAAAGTATGAAAAAATGGATTTATGAAAACCTAGGGATACACTACAAAGCAGTGCTACCTTTTGTCCCATCTATTGCAACTAAATGAAACACCAACTGACAACAGAGGAAAAAACGTTTCAAGAAATGCAATACCTGGGTCCGTACCGTCTAAATTAAGGGTCCATGTAAAATAATTTCCCACCAAAGTACATCGCTATACAGGAAAAGAAAGAAAGTATTTTGCAGCTAATATGAATTTAAAAATCATGTACGATATGTTCATTAAAAAAGAACATAGTTTCCTTATTTCAACATTAGCAACTGAGAAAAGGCTCTCCTAAAAATTTTTTGGACATATTTCAAGGAAAACTACCCTTCTATTGGCTTTGCCCAACCAGTTAAAGATGCATGTGTTACATGTGAGAAACTAAATTTAAAAATAAAAAGTTCTGTTTTGAATGAGAATGCAAAGCGAACAGCTGTCATTGAGCTAACAGTACACAAGCATAAATCTAAAAAGTTATATGCATCACTGAACGAAGTGACCGCGCAGTGCGTCAGTAAGCCTGAGAAAAATGTTAGCATCTGCATAGATTTTATGGCCAACATATCTCTACCTTGTATTCCTGTCCAAGATTCCTATTATAGTTAACACCAACTATCTATCGTCCGTCGGCAAATTCAAACAAAAATATAACTTCCAGAAATCTTTTGCCACCTTTAGTCCAGACAAATTTATAACAGCAATACGTAATAGCTATATGTGGCAACGCTGCAAGGAACTTTGGTGCAAAACAAAATTTTGTGACCAGGGTTAACTAGATTTCAGCCTATTGGGTATTTTATTCACTAATTCAGTAGTTTGTTCCCTGCTGCGTGTTGAAATTGTGTGATAGAGGTGCTAGTCGTGTGATTTGTAAGAATGGAATTAGCCTAATAGTGTTTGTTGTGCTGTGAACTTATCAAAATTAAAACTGTAAAAATGAGTGTATAATATTCTTGTTATTTAGTGTCGTATAATGCACTCTTTATTAGTTACGGGACGATTGTTATCCAGAGCAATTTGGAATGGAATCGCAAATGTATCAACTGCAACAGATCCCAACATCCAAAAGAAAACTGAGCCACATTTAATATCCGCTGTGTGTGGCTTTTCTAAGGAGAGAAAAATTCAAAGACTGATTAAAGGACAATTCGGTGACGATGCCTGGTTTACAGCGAAATACAAAAGTGCGGATGTCCTGGGTAAGATCCTGAAAATCCTAACCTAACCTTTAGCACCTATGACGTTTTAAAATTGTTATAGTTTATTTATCTACAAAACAACAAAACATTACGCAGATGATTGTTGATATTGCAGATTAGTGAATTTAAAGTAATTAATATCAATTCTTTTTTAAAGTTTTTTATATAGTTCTTCATTGATTTATTACATAAATGAATAAATTAGAGGTTAGGCTGTATTTTTTACCTGTCACAAGGTCATATTGTATTGAAGCAATTCTTTTAAAACAAAGTAGATTAGAGGATATTTTAATTCTTTGATTTCAGCTCTTACAGTTGGCCAAAATCAATTCTTTATTCATTAAAACTGTTTCTTATTAAAACCTAATTATTTTCTTCTTTATTTATAAAAACTGGATGTTATTAAATTGTAGAGACAATACCTATATAAAAAATATTAATTATTTGTCTAATAACTTAAGTCAAATAATAAGAGCTTTGAGATTCAAGTTATTAAAAACTTAACTGATCAGTGAATCATATAATATGTGATGTGGTTCAAGGATAGATGTTATTTTAATATTAAAATGGTGTTGGTCATTGGAGACTCCAGATATATTATACCAATTATATAGTACATGATGAAGTAAAAAGGCAGTAATCACATAGATGATAAAGACACTACAAGAAAGAACAAGGAAACTTCTATTATAGTGCATGATACAGTAAAAAGCTTCAAATATCTATGTAGAGGTTGAAAGTTAAGTTTAAAACAACTTCACTGTCCCAATGGTATCAGGTCAACCCTTTCAACCTATAGATAAATATTCGAAGCTTTTTACTGTATCATGTACTATAATACAGCAGACTCCCTCTATAATGAGAACTGAAATGGCAGACTAATTACCTCGTTATAAGCTGATCTCGTTATGTCAAACAACAATAATACTGTGCATACATATGAATATGTAGTTTTCTAAAATATTAAGTTCCTATAGTTAAGCCATTCGCAGTAATATAAGATGCTAAATATTGTTTGAATGTTTTTGAAAAAAAGTTGTTTACTTTTATTGTCAACGATATATGTTAAAACAAAAAATCTGTATTCTGTACATCTGTATAAAGTGGATATTCAAGGACAACAAAACTATTGCTTCTGCAAGTCTGTTGTTTTTGACTGCTTTAAATTGTACAGTATCATTCTATCATATTTTCTAAAGACATGAAACAGTTGTATGCTTTTTCGTTTTGTCTTTGGATTAAGTTTCTTACGTTTAAAGCACTTTCCACATCTTGTCTATTAGAACCTTATTTTTAGGTGCGAATGGTCATACTCATACACTGACACTTGTGAATCATAAATTGTAAATTTCCGACAACACAATATCGGTTGGTAGATTAAACAGAAGTTTATTGCGGGCGGCAGTTAAAAAAGGTATTTATTTATAGCCAGGGCCGTGCCAAAAACGTACAAAAAACCACATTTTTTGATGTTAATTTCTGTCAGTATAGCCAAATTTGCCTCGCTATAGGGAGTTCTAGTTCAATAGAAATTTCACAGTACATCTAATATACCGCGTTATAAGCAAAACCCCGTAATAACCCTGTTTGTAATATAGCGAGTATGCTATATAATTCTCCTTGTTCTTTTTTTATCTTCTGTGTGATTACTGTATTTTTACTTCATCATAACTTCATATAATTCTCCTTGTTCTTTGGTGTGTTAGTGATTTTGTCTTCTGTGTGATTAGTTCTAGTCAAATCTCATTGAAAACCCTCTTTTCAGTTATGAATATATTTGCCTTATGAATATACAGGTTTATTACTCAAGAATTGTTATGTTACAAACAAAGGCTGTATCAAAATTTTTAATGTTAATAAAAATTAACAATTCAAACTTTGGGAATGCATGTGACTAGTGACAATAGTTTCAGTGTGGCTATTGTAAGAAGTTTTAGTACATACAGTTTCATACACTCTTTAAAAAGATACAGACTGAAAGCTGGTAAAGTTACTTTTATAGCTCATAATTTAGAACCATTTGATCAGGACCAGATATCAGCAATCACTAAGCGGTCTAAGTATTAAGAATAGAACCTAACTACTTTGCACTACCAGTCTAAGGAGGATCTTGAGGAAATAGTGGCAGTGAAAATGGTTTAACTGGGTGATGGGTAGGAGTCATCAAATGATTAAAATTGTGATCTTGACATTTTTTCTGACACAAATTTCTTTTCAACTTAATATATTTCAAGTTTTTATTTTGTTTTTGATAATTGAGAAGAGGGAATGTAAATTATCTTATTTTTTTTATTGTGAGCACTGGTACAAGACTATTTTTCAAAATTTCTTGATACTTTGATGTGTTAATTGTGCCTCTCATCACCTCATATCTTCCTAGAACTGTTGAAGAAATGCAGCCCCAAATCATAATTCCTTTGGGAAACTTTACTGTTCTTTTGAGGCAATATTTATGGAATGCTTTATTTTGACTTCTGATAACCTGTTTTTTGAAAGTCTACCATGCAAATATCAAATTTCGATTCATCACTGAATATCACACTGAACCAGTCATCAAAGGTCCATGAAAATTTTAAGCAACCGTGTCAATTGGACAAGAACGAAGATTTCATGGACCTTTGATGACTGAACTAGAGTCATATTCAATGACGAATCGAAATTTGATGTTTGCATGGAAGACTTTTGAAAACAGTTATCAGAAGTAAAAATAAAACATTCCCTAAAGATTGCCTCAAAAGAACTATGAAGTTTCCCAAAGGAATTATGATTTGGGGGTGCATGTCAGCTGGTGTAGAAAGAATGAGGTGGTAGAAAGCACAATTAACGTAGCAATTAAAGTATCAAGAAATTTTTAAAAATAGTCTTGTAGCATGTGCTCACAATCTGTACTTGATATCTCTCTCAACTCTTATATTCCAGAAGGACCATGCTACATTCCTTCCAGCTAAAACAACTAAAAAAGAGTTTAGAGGCAATATTAAAGTGCTCTTATGGCCTTCGAATAGTTCAGACCTTAATTTTCTTGATACATTGTGGCATAAGATGAAACAAATTGCTTAATCATCCCCAGAGAACCATCCCCAATTTAAAGAGTAAATTAGTTGAATAATGATAGTTTAGACCCTGACTTCTGTAAATCCTTAGTACTAACAGATAGAATTGTTGCAGTTGTAAGAGGGTGTGACAATGTGACCCCATATTAAAGTAGTATTTTCTTAAATTGTCTGAACATTTAGTTGTCAGGATGTTATGGAACATGTTCATTTATTTTGCCACCAACTCTGCAATTCAAAGTTCATATACTTGAAGATATATCCTTTCTTGTCTATAGTGCAGAGTATTCCAATATGCCAATCACAATGGAGTAAGTTCTGTCTACCTTAAGTTGTTGTAGTACCAGTATATCTTAGCTAACATCTTTATATTGTTCCTCAAGATTATATTTCCAAATGATTTCTTCTGGTGAGTTCACTGCTTTTGTGTGCAAACAAGTTTTATACAAAAAAAATTTATTTTATTATTTTCTATTACCTTTTTTGCCTCACTAAATACCTGTTAAAGGCCTAAATGTCTGGTTGGTGGTCAGTGTCCTCTCTAAATATATTTGCTGATTTTACAATTTCGTCTACACTTTTAAGGCCCTGGTTCCATAATACACACTTTTCACAGGAACTTTAAAAAATGTTAGCTCTTAAAAGTTAATTATAGAAATATGCACAATATATAACTGGTGGCCAACATTGTTGGGATACTCGGTATGATCAATGTTTGATTTTGTATGTCATATATATTTTCTTAAATAGTAAACAGAAATAATTACTCTCTTTCTTTGTCCACAGTTATAGTATGATAGCTGATCACTTGAAAATGGTTTCTATGAATTGATGAAAAGATTATTTTTGCCTAATATTCCTTTAAAAAATTGCTAATAATTTGATAAATTGCCCTGAACTTTTAAATCGATTAGGTCTTAACACTCTTCATGGAACTAGGCATACTTTGTTCTTTCATCTACCATTTCATCAATTTAATTATGAATACTTCAAGCCTCTTACTCATATGGTGAGACTATATAATATGTACCAAAGTGATCTGGACTTATTGTTCCAGTCCTTAGAACAATTTAAAAATGTGATGAAGAGACTGCTATTTGTGTGATATTAGTTTGTATTGAAGTTAATTATTAGTTTTTGTTAAACTTTACTAATTATTTTCCTATGTTATGCTTACTTCGAAAATTTTTATATATTATATTTTGTTCCAATGTAAATGGTATATCCGTTAATAAATAAATAAAAATAAAATACATCAATAACCAATGTTATTATTGGCTAATATTTCCAATTTGTTGAAATTCAATTCGCTAATGTTTCCCAATTTTTGTTGTGAAATGTGTTGTTAGGCTTTAAATAGATTTCTCTCTTATTTATTGCGCATATACTGTTTCTATAGTTTATTTTCATTTGTTATTCCTATTTAGTGTAACTGTGGAAATAAATGAGGATAAGATACATGTATTATATTTTTTATCTTATATTTTTATAATTTATGTAATATTAATAATTACCATATCATAACCAAAACTAGTTATAATTAAGTATTTGTGCAATATGCATGCTATCATAGTTGCAAATATAGAAAGGTATACAAATGTATGAAGTATACAAATAAGTCAGTGTAGAATCATACTAATATAATAAGTAATACAAATAAATATTACAACATTAATATTTGTTATGAACTTTGGATCTAGCCATATACTTAAAAAAAATTTAATTTTTATTTTGGAAGTTATCTGTAAATCTTATGTGTAATTCTATGTATAAATAAAGACACTTGAAGGTCAAATCATACAGAGTATTTCAAACATCAATAATCAAACACTAAAAAACAAAATATTTTTGATCTCAAAATATTATTAACTGGAACATCTACATTGATATTCAATACAAAGTCTATGATCCTTGCTAACATAGAAACTTGTTACCAGCCTTTTTCTC